GAGAGAGTAAATAAAATCGGGTTAAATCCATATGATAACAAGCGCTGGATCTTACTTGATGGGATTCGAACACTCCCCTATAGACATTGGCGAATTGGATTTTATAAACGCCTGGTAGCATCTGAAATAGCTCCTGAGGAAGCAGAAGAAAGGGCTATGAAAGCTAAACTTCGTGTCAAGGCATAGATGCTTTATAACAAATATTTTTGGGGTAAAAAAAAAATCTAAAGAATATATTTTCATTAATTAAAGTTTTTCTATCGTTATAGTAGAAACAATACAAAAAATGGTTGATCATAAGGATATAGAATTTGCGCAAATCAAAGTCATAAAAACTGCATTGCGAAAGGGCAAAAAATATGATAATCTTGCAAAAAATTATGGAGAATATCTAAAGAAATTACGAGCTGAAAAGAATCCGAATGACTATATTAAGACAGTTGCAATCAAGATGTTCCCTAGCGAAGAGGCATACAATTTAAGGCTAGAAAATTATCGAAGTAGGTATGCAGACAAAGATTTGTGTACCAGCCTAGAAGAATTATATGAGCTTTATTATCATATAGCTAAAGAGGAGAATCGTGAAAGATCAGATGATGAAATAGAACAAATTCTCAGAGCAATGTCAATCTAACTGTCTTCTGGCAAAAAGCTTTTTATAAGCTAGACTAGTGAATGGTGAATATATACAGTTACAGCATTAACATGAATATTATATATTTTTTTTCTGGTATATGAGCAAGCGGGTAGGGAAGCCACTATGCATACATTAATATTATTTTTTCAATTAAGGATATAGGCTCCTATAACAAAGTATGGGGTTTATTAGCAAATTACACAATATGGAAAGTTTAGATGATATTATAGAAGATGCGAATAAAAATATTAAAAAGGTGTTTCTAGCAGGGGTTGCACCTGAATTTCGACAAGAAGCCTATATAATTGGTCTTAAATTAACATTGGATAGATTGACACGTGAGCTAGAGTTTGCGCAAAAAGATGATTGTTCTTCAAAGCCAGCCAGTCCGGAGCAGTGATCTTCAGCTCGGAAGAATTTGCTGAGCCATGCACAGCGCCTTCGGCCAGATTGTGCGATAAAAAATAAGTGGATCATCAGACAGGTCTTGTGCAACATATTAATTTTCGCATATATTCATGCTAACTACTACCTCTATTTTTTTTCCAAACAATCATGAGAAAATGTGAAAGAATGTCTACAAGCAACACAGGACCTTCCCTACAAGTAAATACTGACGGCAAAAGCATATGTTATGAAAGGCTGAGGGACTCACAATTTTGAGATCGCCGGACGTAAAACCAACTATAGTCTCTCCGGTAGATCTCCATGTGAAAAGGTATGAGGATTCCATTTACATGTGTTTTCATAGAACTCTTGGCATCAGACAACAATACTAATTACGCCTCATACCTCCTTAACTTTTCCCAGCAAGATATAAAGCATGTAGGGTATGTGGAAGTTCAGCCAACTTTCCACAAAAAACTTTCTCGTAAAATAACGCAAAATAAGGTATGTATATGCCCTAAATTATGTATATATGGAAGCGAGTTTTTTCTCACTATGAGCCTTGTATTTAGGAAACGAAAAAAAAATGGTCAATATTATTGACTTCAGGTTTAAAGTACATGATAAATCGGATGATGAAATCTTCATAATCAAAATAGCCTGGCAAACATTGGTCAAAGACGCCATACCCACTATTAAAAAAGGAATGGCAACACTTTATAAGCAGGTTCCTGATGAGATTAAGCTTTACGTGGATAATCCAAAAGGGCCGGCAAAAGAGTTGGAACCGGATGACATGATTTCTAAGCATTTTAATATCGATCATATTGAAGAGGGTCTCATCCTCATATACCTTCAATAGTTAGAATTCTTTCATGCATATCATGTAGCGATATATTCGCAATTTTTTATGTATTAGATGCTCCGGCAGTGTTTTTTTTATTTAAATAAAGCATGTATTATGTTCTTGTCGTAAATCTTTGATAAATGTCACGTGTAATGATGTAATACAATCGCCTGACAATTCTGTACTACATCTTAATTGCATATATATTGGGTAAATGCATTATGAATCGATACAAAAAATCTATCATTTTCCACCCGAGCACTTACACCGAAATACTTTTATATCCATAAACCAGCTTTACCTGTAACAGCAGTCAAGTGCATATTTTTTCGCAAGCACAAACTCACATATATAAAAACCATGTCTTCACAAGCTTCTTCACCCGCTTCACCCGCCTCAATAACGGAAGAAATTTCCACTAGAACAATGTCGGACGTGGTTAAGGATT